AAAAATTTGATATTATTGATACTGTAAAAAAAATATTTAGGGAGACTCCCACACAACAAACATGAATTTCTTATATGCGTTTTTTTTTTGTGGATAATGGTAAGGAATCCTTTGTGCGACTCACGCTTGGCCAGTTTATAATTTTTCTGCGTATTTGCTTGCTTATTTGCCTGCTTTATGTACTTTACTGTCTACCACTATATTTACGTAACATCATGGCGTCAAACAGATAAAAAATGACGTCGATTTGTATTAGATAGGTGTAATTTGTATACATTTTAATCACCCGACAAAGAGGTAAAATCATGAAAAAAGTTATCTTGAAAAAAAACTGAGTGGACGAAACATATACATTCGATACCTGTAATCTGAAGAGACGGCAGACTATCCGTTGTCAAAATTTCACCCAAGTCACGTACTAAAATATCTGAAAATTCTGAATTTAGAAAACACGAACAAACTGACCATCAAGTTGCTATGAGAATCAGGCTTAGAATCTCGCACAAGCAAAACATCAGGCTGTTTAAAATCCTTAAACTATCTTAATTTGAATGTCCAGAATAAGCACAGTAGTCAAATATCTAGATCCTAACAAAAGGACGGCGTCATTATTGAAAGACTAATAGAAAGATTATTATTTCAAAGATAACATTTTATTTTTATTTTTGCAAGGCGTGTCGATTCTACTACCCGCTAAAATGGACTTAAGAGCGACTGGAATGTTTTATGAAGATTTGCGCGTTATACACAGAAACACCGGTGCATTTTCTATAATTGGTACTTACCATCTATTGGGCAGTCCTATGCCCCAGCAGTAAGGACGCTGATAAGCTAATGAAGATGATATGAAGGAAGATGCTTACTAATGAAGATGATATGAAGGCTTAATGGCAATTTTTTTATTAATATTAGCTTAATACTCCAGTATAGCAGCCTAGTGCGCACACAGTACCCTCTGACCACGTGGACGAAGCCGCGGATTACAGCTAGTGTTTTATAAGAGTATTTACACATGACAAGTGATTTCTCAACGTCTATTGTTGTGGTAATAGGAAAACATCAGAGAGTGCCAACGGAGTGTCATCGGATATGCTTGTCATACAATACGCTGGTCGAGATGCAATGACATTGCATACTAGAGTACGTGACAAGAGCCAGACATCGTGACGTTACTCGACTAGTAAGAGAGGAAAAATCACGGTATACCATTTGTCTTATTTTAAAGGTTACCTGTTATATTTCATCTCTTTTTTTTAATTCATTTCCAGTTAAGGCAGCCATGACTTCCCTACTCTAGTATAACACCTCTATATCGACATATATTCTTGTAACGAAATGGTTGTAGTCATACGAGTTAGCTAACGATCATCTCAGAACACCTACGATATAGGGCTGTCACTTAAATTATATGCATATTTTACACACCGTCATATTTTATTCTTACCTCAAAAATTACTTATTTATGCAAAATCTATAAGCATAGTTTTTTTTTATAGACGTCTAAAAAAGAGTAGTTTTTCAATAAAACTGAATTTTTATTTATTTTTTTATTTTATGAAATCATATTAAAACATTGTCAAACCAAGCTTTTAATAATTATAGCATCTTAGTAAGTAAACAAATACTATAAAATTGTGATGCTAACGTTTTATGTATCTAAGGACTTCGTTTAATTGATATGTATATTTAAAAGAACAAATACGTTTTAACTTCTGGTTGATATTATGAGATAAATTATAATTTAACTCGTCGTTAATAATCCTCCTCGTTCTCATTAGAAAAATAACGCCTGATAAACTTATTGGCAATGTATTATTTAATTTTGGATACTATATACATATTTTTCTTACGTTGCGTCACGACGTGATTGGTTGCGCATGTGACCATTTTTTGTTCGCTTAAACGAGCTACATGATTCTAGTATTACGTTCTGTTATTGCTTCAGAGTCTTTGACACAATGCCAATGAGGTTATCCAAAACAACATATCATATTATTTGGCTAAGGAATGAGTTTGTTAATTATAAAGAACATTATTTGCGTAATGGCGATTTCGAAATCCAGACATAGAATATACTATGAAATGAAAATCCTAGATCAAAATATAATACAAATGACGTTACATTTATATATATAATATTGGAATTAGAACGATAATTATTCCGATTTAGATTTTATCACGTTGTAACAGTATTTCGTCATAAAAATAAGATATTTAAGTATTGTAGTGGCAAAAAAAGTTGGTCACCCATCCCGATCGACCTTTGCGAAAGTTGTAAAACTACCACACCGCAAACCGATCGCGCTATCCACTGCGCCATCGAACTCCTACATATAAGGTTAAAGATAATAAAAATCCTTGAAAATTGACAACCCTACGACACTGGTCACGTGACCCTTGTCTCACGTGTTTGGATGCCGCAGTCTCATTTTCCTGTACTAAGCGTCAATTAGTAGTTCAGATAATTACAATGATGGGCGTTTACTAATCTAGCGTAATGCTGACTAATTCCATATTACCATTGTTGGATAAGTACAATAGAATCCCGATTATACGGATCAATCAAATTCCGTATTTCATATTCCGTATAATTGAAAATCCGAATAATCGATTTCAAATTCAAATCCAACAAAATTAATATTTAAATAAATTTTATTATAATATTGGCTTTATTCGAGTTTCCTATAATCGCGATTTTATCAACCTAGTCACAAAGTTTTCTTCTGTTTGTTTATACAACTTTCTATGATCTAAATTTATCTTTCGTTATATACCTTATTGGTTGTAGTATCAATAAAAGAAGCAATTAATTTACAAAGCCATTAATAATATTAAAACCTCTTTACCCAGTGCTAAAACACAAGCAAAACGTATGTGAATTGTTTGACCATATTACTATTGCAACTAACGTTTATTTAAAAAAATCACCTACCATTAAAATTGTAAGATAAAGTTTTCAAATGGCCATAGGTTTATTTATTTTATTTACCAACAACCGTTACAAAACACTTATTTTCTATCTCATATATACCTCATGAATGCTCCAAGTAATTATGGATAGGCAAAACAAGAATTCGTTGATAAGCTGCGTATCCACATCTATTAATAGTTTCCTTAAATTAATAAATTGAAATTAGTAATATCTTTTAACTTAATTACTTTTCGTAGAACTCATTAAAAACCTTTCTTATAAATTTCTAAATACATTTCTAATGTTGCACACAGATTATGTGATATCTGCGACCTGAGCGGTTTCGATTGGCTGTAAAATAAAACTCACAAATCTATCTAAAAAAATCCACCTTACAATTTACTTACTTCAAGAGGATTATTTAATTATTTTTTTTCTAACAAATATAAGAATAACTTTTTTAGTAAATATATTATATCTACACATTGCCAATAAACCAGCAAATGCTATTTAGGATACCATGGAATTGTATACATTACTTAGGTAACGTATGTAATGAAAAATAATATTCGTATTATATAGAATACCAGAAATATACAGATTACCGGCATAACAAATAAACAATTTAATACATTTATTGTACATAATATTATTCTATTGTGATATTACGTACATTACTTGCTATTTTATTCATTGGTTTATTTATAAACCCATTCACCACTCATTGTTAATGAAATATCTCAATTGACAACATAACATCCGGTTTTTATACGACTACGGCGAAGCGAAATGGAGGGTTATGAATATGATTGAAGCCGGTGTATAAGTATGTACAGCATGTTCCCCTTAACTTTGAAACTACTTATCGTAACTGAACAAATGAGATATCATTAGAAGCATCTTAGTTGTCCGCGTGCTATAGGCTATGTGACGTTAAATTAAATTGGTAACAGCGCCATCTAGAGACCATAAAGTAAGAAACTAAATACACCCGAAAATTAGTTATATAAAAAAATAAGTTCAAAAATTAAACCCGACTACAGCTAAATTACTCTGTAAAAAGTTTGAAACAAGAAATTTCTTTTATAGCGCCAACTACATTATAATAACAATGACCAAACCTACTGATTGATCATTATAAAACAAACTGTTGTGGCATACAACAATGCGCTGTCCTTTGGTCATCACATCACTATTATAATATAAGCTATCGCTATAAAATAAATTTCATGTTTCAAACTTTTTAGAGCGTTATTTAGCTGTAGTCGGGTTTGAGTTTAAGAACTTATATTTTTTTTCATAAGCAATCATGTTTTAATAAAAAATACTCGAATAACCATTCGCAATACATTTTGATGATTATTTTATATTAAAAAGGTATATATTATATAATATATGAGAACTTCTTAGCGTGATATTTTGATCAATTTTTGCATTCTATACTGGAAAATACTTATATATATTTCAATTGAAAAATGTTTCATAAAAAATCCACTTTGCCCTGGTACAAATTACTGCTTAAATATTCGATCCATTTCATCTCATTACAGAGTACCAGGGACAAAGTTCATTTCCTAAGTTTTCTTCATTAAGTATTGTAATAAATAATTTCCAAAATATTAGATTACTATAAAAATGCTGTCAAATGCGCGCGTAAACATTTTTAGCAACTAAAATATTTTAATTTAACTTAACTTACAATATAAATTTAACTTAGGTTACAAATTTAACTATGTGCCCGCTGTATTTGATATGTAGATAACCTCATTTAAAAAAAAACAGATACATACTAGTAATTCATTTTCGAATTCATTCAATATGTAACGAATTTCACATATTATTGTTCAAAGTTATAAAATAAAATTGAAAAAAAAAATAATTTAACCAAATTGAAATAAAATTTATGCGTCTACATAAAAAAAATCTTGATTATTTAAGCAACGCAAAGTAAATAAGAAAGTTACAAAAACATAATATTTTTATCGAGATTTTTTTTTTTCTCAATACTTTATCAGAGAGTGATATTAATATATTTTAATTAAAAAAATAGACGATTACAGGTTTTTTTTAATAATAATAAACCTCTTACCTTCAACCATCGCCTTCTTGTCTCAGTTAAAAAATCTGCAAGCACCATGTTTCTAGTTTCACCAAGTTTTCACTATATCGCGCGTCAAACTTTACGACAGTGTGACACAAGCGTACTTCCCGCGAGTTACAGACGGAGTGCCGACTGGAGGGGCCAACACATTGTTTTATTCCACCCCCGCACACCCTTATATCCCTTTATCCCTATAGTCGTGGATAGAGAGGGAATCGAGTTATAAATCGAAAAGAATATTTATAATTTATATAGAAATGAGAACGCTAAATAGGAATTGGAATGTTACTGATAAGATTATCACGTTCATTATTTTCTAAATTATTATGGTTTTGAACATCCATTTTTTCGGTATTATCTTTCTGTATATCTTTCGGTAAATCCTTTTCTACCTTACATTTTCACAAATATAATATTTTTATTATATTTGAATCGTCAACAGGTAAACATGAAGATTTTCTGTCTAGAAATTATTTGTATCAATAATATTGAGAGGCAAAGTCTACCTATACGCAGTAAATTAACTTCAGACCTTTAACGAAAGAGAAATAGGAACTGACTTATACCAAATAGGTTTTAGCGCCCTGTGTAAAACTTTTCTTTTCACTTCAATTAAGAAAAAATATATATATTTACTAAAATAATTGTAAGATGTCGTCACAATGTTCGGATTTTAAAATATATTAGGTCCTTACATATGAAATTGGTGTTTGGTATGGGAGGAACAAAAGTCGAATATTTTTTTAATATAATATATTATTTATTTAATCAAAGTATAAACCATTGTTATCCATGCACTTTTGCCATCTCATAGGTAGGCACTAGTCCACCAAGCGCTTACAAGTAACTTTTTTGGGGTCAATTTTCGCTTGGGGCAGGATTTGGCTGGCATGCCAGGGTCCAACCATTGCGATGAGGGCTTCTAATTATCGCAGAAAATCTACTTTTCATCACAAGTAAAGATTCGATTTAAAAACCCTTCATTATCGTATTGGTTAAGTAATGTAACGCAGCAGTCGACTCGGACGTGGTTTGCGATGGATCCGCTTCCACAATAGCCTTCAATTCTTCATTATTAACTTGGGTCTCCGGCCACGGAACCAAAACCGCATTGTATTTTCTTTTGCGACACAACCATATACATCATTAACCCTCCGAGCCGTTTCTGCAGCACTGGTACCGCGGTGAAACTCATACTCGTAAATAACACGATATTTCAAGTTTTCCATTTTTTATACTGGGTGACGAAAATAGGACAAACAGAAGAAAAAAAACAACAAATGAATGCCTCCTCACGATACACAAATACATGTATTTACACATCTATAAATTTGAATTTGGAATTCCCAACCACGGAGGAGAAATTCGTGATAAAAGTAGCCAGTACGACAAAACGCCAATTTCATATGTAAGAACGTAATATTTGTTACTGACTATTTCCCGCTACTTTGCCCGCGTCACCAGCGTTTGTACCAAACAATCAAATAGTTCCTCTTTTTTTGACTTTAATATATTACATTAAACTGAATGGAAGAGTGTAATTTTCTTTCTTTTATACGTAACATAATTCAAAAATTTTAATTTACAGTTCAAAAATCGCTGTTTATAAATACAAACACGAAAAACTAGAATATATCACGACGATTTATTATTATTAATTCACAAAAGTTTGACTAACTGTTTCCAAGTATGTAGATTTCGAGAACTACTTTCTTTAATACTACCTTTACTATTATTACATTTATCTCTTTACTTCATTTGCAATGTACGTGTTCTGCCGAATTTAGTTTGTTGCTTTTAGTTTCACTTTCAAAAACTTTTTTTTTTTATGAAAAATAATAAAGAGTTTTTATTCATGAATATTTACTATAAAGACTTTGATCTCCTAATTACCACAAAGCAAGAAAAGCTACATATTTTTGATTATATTTTTGAAAGGGCCAATTCCCTTTATATTTATGTTTATGTTCTATATTTTTATAGTATGTATGTATGTGTAAATTTATGTAAATATGTTATTTTTATTCAAGCAATTGTTTGTTTTTCTTTGTTAAGCTAGTAGGCTATCAGAAAACCCTGGTAGAGAATGCTGTATGGTATTGAGTCAGAAATTTACTTTATTGTAATAAAGGATAAATAGATTCCACTTAGTTTAATATTAACCTAGTACATTTTATAATATCTGAGCCTTTAAGAACTAGTTGACACTACAAACTTTGTGCTGTAAAATACATATGTTTTTGGCTGATAACGTAGCTTTATTTTAATATCAGTTCAGTTTTTGTTAATATAGATAAAAAAAAGATTCTAGGCGTTAGTAAGTCGATACTTGAAGTAAAAACTAAACTGTATGACGCAGTGAGGTCAACGTAATACATCGGCCCCTCATTCACTGATGCGTGTCTTATTAGGTCATATTATTTTGTATGAGAGAAATGAAAACCTTTTATTTACTTCGTATTTTATGTATTGATTCACATTACTAACAAAAGTGTATTTATTTATTTTTATTGCTAACATTTTTTTGATAGAAAAATATATAATCTTCTTTATTTAAAGTAGGCATTAAATAATAATGTCTTATCTATCAACCTCAACAAACAAATTGTTTTTTTCGACTTTAGTTAATTCAATAGATATTTGCTTGATGTTAAGGTTATTGTCAATGTGATTGTTCAACTTAATGTCTATATCTCACTTAAAAAGGTTAATCTCAATAGACTCAATAACAATTACAATTAATTAACTTAAATTTAACTTGAGCTATTATCATTATTAGTTGATATATATCTACATTATATACAAAGAGGAAAGATTTGATCGTTTTCATTGAATTGGCTCCGAAAACTTACAAATTTGTGAAGACGCGGGAAAACAACTAGTAACGTAGTTATGGAAGTATTGGAGAATCACAACTCCCAAAATAGACGTCTACCCACTAGGGTAACTAACTATAGTTATTAACATGATTATGTAAAATCCTTCCATTAAACTTAAAACAGTTGTGACAAAATTGTCTGTGATCATTAAATGAAAACAAAGATTATTCTTAAAGTGTTATCAATTGTAATTTGTAGTACAAATGTGTGAAATTATTATAATAAATGAAAATAAAATAAATATAATATGCTAGGGTAACCAAAAAGGTGCATCAATTATCTTATCATATACAACCTATTTAGAATAGTTTAAAATAGAATAAGATATGTGTCGTAAATTGCTAATGGGCTGGAACCCCGTCGGATAACATTTTTTTGTTGAAAATGAATGAATGAAAATTAATAATCTTCTTTATTATTTTAAGACATTGTTATTCGACGTCGGCGACGTGACGTACGAAAACCAATTACAAGTTAATAAAAATTCTATATCATTTATACAGTCTAGACTTTTAAAAACGCTAGTGAAAGTCTGAAAATCTACGTCATCGAGTCGTGTATCTACATCGAGTTATATACTACTTTATAATCAAGGTATATTTATTCTAGGGCCATAGTGCGGGGTGGCAGGTTGAAGAGGGCGGTGTGAGTGGCACATGTCCGTTTCTATGGATGATAATCAAAGTTATTTTTTAAATTATCTGATGATAATGATATCTGCCTACAGAGTATTAGTACCAAAATTTAGTACCAGTGATAGTTACCACATAGATATTTATCTTAAGGTAGTGAAAATAAATTATAGATTTCTAAATAACATAAGAGAACTTCCATTTAATTACTTTAAAAAACAAATTACCGAATGCCTCTGTTTGTATGGAAATTTGTCGTTTTCATTGTTAAGAATTTTTTCATTTTAGATATAGCTTTGATTTAATTTCAATTTCGTATTGAATTGAATTAATTGCCTCTTTGTGATGGATTAAAATAAAGAATGAAATTCGATAAGTAGTCACTGCATTGACTTTCATCACAAAGTTCTATATTTACATAAGAGTGTTTTATATGCCAATGTGTTTAAAATCTCTATATTCATATAGAAACATATTAAACGAAGTCACAGTGAAGCGTAGCGTTTTAAATAGAAAAATATTCATACCAACATAAATTATTAGTCATAAAAAGTGACCACATTTAAGCATACACCACTCAAATATTACTGTTTGGCCTCTGCTAGTTTACGTAATAGCCAGTATGTCCTTAAATTCCTACGGTGACGTCAATGCGTGTAATATTACATTGTTACGCATATAGAAAGAAAACCAAAGAGTATTTATTTGTGAAATCATTATGTAATTCTATAGTAAATGAATATTGTATTAGCATGTCAGTGACCTCGGTTTTTTTCGTTTGTAAAAAAATAGAAATCGTGTATCATGCTTTTTAAGCAACTTTTATGTAATGCAAATTGCGATTCGAATTTTAGTGAAAGAAAACGAGAAATATACGACGTTACTGATCAAGGTTAATGTGTCTGATTCTAATAGACTCGCAATGCTCCGAAATCGATTCAAAATATGATAGTTTTTTTTTTTCGCAAACGGCATATCTTACCACCGATATTTTATAAATGGTGTGTAATGTTTTGATGCATGTTAATTATTCTAAGGTCATCTTTTCAGTTAACCTTCATTTAATACCTATATTATTTGCATATTATAATATAGTCTATCGCTCTAATTATAATTATAATTTTTTTTTTACTTTTTTATTAAAGAAAAAGGCATAGTTAAAAATATTTTATAAATGGTGTGTAATTTTTTGATGCATTTTAATTATTCTAAGGTAATCTTTTCAGTTAACCTTCATTTAATACCTATATTATTTGCATATTATAATATAATCTATCTATTATCTTTAATAAAAAAGTAAAAAATATATATATTATAACGCTTAAAGATAAATAGTTTGCTAAATTAGATTTACAATAAACTTGATTTGTTATTTTTGCATTTAATTGTCAAATCTTTACATTAAATACATACCATAAGAGCGCACAAAATTAACTATTACATTTAAAAATACGTATAAACCTCTTTTCAATTTTACACAAGATAAATAAAAATGTTAGTTGAAGTAAATATCATATATTTTAGC